TTGTTCTGATTTTCTTTTTTCCCCTCCCTCTGGCAGTCAGGTAATTTTCTGGGTATTGAGATTGAGTTTGTAGCATCGTGATAATCCTGCTTTAATCAGCTTCACTCTACTAATTACTGCTTGTTCTGGGTGGGGATGAGAAACATGAGAGAGATGATATTTACCACTTTTAGCTGCTTCTTTGTCATAAGGGGTCTGGTATAGTTTTAATTAATATCTCAATCTAAACACTAGATATAGCCGTTTACAAATATTCTAATGGTTAAGTTATGGAAAAATGAATAATTGATAGTAAAGTATGCTCCTGTCACCAGAAGGTTGGGGTAATCCACAAGGTATTTGGCAACTGCCATGATTCAACATCAGGTTTAAAGCTCGTGTTAATGGAGGAAGTTTGAAGGTTCAGTTTGTTCCACGACTGCATTTCACTCACTGCCTCTGTTTGTATCTCTGTCACTGCAGGACCAACATGGAGCGAGAAGTCAGCGCTCTCAGGAGGCCGACAAACCTCACAGAAGAAAGAGAGAGAAAAAACACAGCTGTGACGAGTGTGGGAAAGGTTTTACCTGGAAGGTCTCATTAAAAAAACATCAAGTCATTCACGCTGGAGAGAGACCGTTTAGCTGTGACTTGTGTGGAAAGTCTTTTAGACAGCCTGGAAGTTTAAAAAGACACCAGCTCATCCATAGTGGAGTTAAAGAACATACTTGCGATCAGTGTGGGAAGTGTTTCTCTCGGAAAGAAGGGTTGGAAGAGCACAAACGTATCCACAGTGGCGTTAAACAGTACAGCTGTGATCAGTGTGGTAAAGTCTTTGCTCACCGTAGCGGCTTATGGACTCATCAAGTTGCCCACTCTGGAATTAAGGCATACAGCTGTGAGGTTTGTGGAAAAACCTTCAGCCAAGTAGGGCACCGAAATGCACACCTACGCATTCACACCAAAGAGGATGTGTACTACTGTGAACAGTGTGGAAAAGTGTTTATGACAAACAGAGACTTAAAAATCCACAAATTCACTCACACTGGAGAGAGACCTTATAAATGTGACGTGTGCGATAAGGCCTTTAAAGATCCAAGTTCCCTCAAAGCGCACCAACAAATCCACACCAGGAAGAAACTCTACAAGTGCAGTTACTGTGAGGTATGTATTTACATTTTTATCTTGTAGTTTTAGTGTTTGAACAACTCTGCTTATTAAATTTGGTTACAATATTAGCAACTATGCTGTATGTAAAGGAGATTTATCACATTTCAATATCATTCTTTGTTTTGTTTCTTTCATGATTAGGTCAAAAAATAAACCTTTATGTCACTATTATTTAATGGCACTTTCATGGCATTAAAAGATTATTTCTGTAAAAATGTGGCTGTATGTGAGTTTACAGTTACTCATTTTCTGTCCGGTCTACATAGAATAAAAAGAATTTTAGTGTCATTATAAAGATATAAGACTTAAAAAACAACCACAACTAAATAGTCTACTCACAAGTAGGCTGTTTGCCTGTGATGCCACTGCTGGTTGTTAACATTAATGTTTTCATAACACTTCCATTACAGCTGGTAAGTGGGCCTTAGAAACTATCCACAACTAAACTTTTGAGGCACAAATTCTTCTGTCTCCGTTCAAAACACATTTTAGTTATCTGTGACTCACCTGAGGGATTTACTATGAGGGAAGTTCAACCACGGTCAGAGATCCAGTCAAGTTTTCTGCTTCAGCTTCTGTACGAGGTCATATAAAAATGTCAACCATAAAAAGATCCCCATGAGTGCCACCTAATCTAATGGAAGACATTGTCCGATGATGATAAAGTGGTGAAATATAAAGAAAATAAAAGTGTAACACTAAATTGCTACATAATTGTAAAAAGATTAGATTGATATTGCAAAAAAAACATTAAGTTTGTTATTTCAAGTGACAATTTTAGAGTAACGGTGCATTCACGCCCCTCACTGGTCGTGTGCACATTTGCACCTCGAAGCACGTCCAAAGCGAACTGGTCACGCTTTAAAATATGCAATTTTCACACCCGTGAAGCGGAAATGTGGGAGGAAGTAGTGCCAGATGGTATGTTTGCGAGATGGCAGCTGTCGATCTAGCGTTTGAAGAGAGGGTCTCCCTTCTCTATTCACTGTGGAGAGCAGAGCAGCGGCGTAAAGGACGCTTTACACATTAGTCATTACAAAAATTTATTTGAAACAATATTAAGATGCTCAAACTGAAAAACATTAAACATGAATATATAAAATATAACTATTTACAGAGAGACAGGAATAAAAAGGACCCAGCTTAAAGTGGTAGAGCCTCAGGGAGAAGGAGGAGAAAAATAAGAACATTGTTTCTGCCCTGGAGGCTCCTGATTGGTTTTCGCGCTGCGACTTGACGCTGGAGTTCAGATTTTTCCAACTCAAGCGGTAGACGCAATAAGCGGGAATGCACAAAATGCACCACACAAACTGCAGTGCGTATTTTACTTCAAACGCATCAGTCAGGCTACTTGTTTGCGCGAATCAGGCAGAAAATTCAATTCAATTCAATTTTATTTATATAGCGCCAAATCACAACAAAAGTCGCCTCAAGGCGCTTCATAGATACAGAGAAAAACCCAACAATCATGTGACCCCCTATGAGCAGCACTTTGGCAACAGTGGGAAGGAAAAACTCCCTTTTAACAGGAAGAAACCTCCGGCAGAACCAGGCTCAGGGAGGGGCGGCCATCTGCTGCGACCGGTTGGGGTGAGAGAAGGAAGACAGGATAAAAGACATGCTGTGGAAGAGAGACAGAGATTAATAACAGATATGATTAAATACAGAGAGGTCTGTTAATACATAGAGAGCGAGAAAGGTGACTGGAAAGGAAAAACTCAATGCAAGTGTTTTTTGCGACGCAAATCTGCTTCTGAAGTTTCACGCGACCCCCAGTCGCGCTTCATCACGCTCCTCCATTGACTTTACATGTTAACCTGAAGCTCTGGTCGTGTCTAACGCGTTCGGTGTGAACGCAGTAGTTGAAAGTACATGAGTGTTATTGTTGTATTCTTTTTGGTAGACCTACAATAACTATATTTTACTTTTTAGTTATTGCTGACATAGTAAAATGTAACTGGACATTGGCAGAGATTCTCTTTATTTCAGGCAACCTTCAGGAAAAAGATTTTGAAGAAATTCCCTGACTCTGACTGTGTTTGTGTCTTTGTTTAGAAGCAGAGCGACACAGATGGATCCAATTCTCAACCCTGTCATCACTGTGGTGGTGGGAAAGCGTTTCGTTGTGACATTTGTGGAAAAACTTTCAATTGGCAAAGGAGCCCAAAAATACATCTACGTAGACACACTGGACACAAACTCAAGTACTGTAAAGAATGTGGGAAAGGCTTCCCCACAGCAGGCGAATTAAAGCGCCATGAACTCATTCACAGTGGCATTAAAACGAACCTCTGTGACCAGTGCGGGTCATCCTTCACCACTGCAGGTGAGCTTAAAGCTCATAAACGAGTCCACACAGGAGAGAAACCATACAAGTGCAGACACTGCGACAGAAGCTTCTCTCGTGCAAATACTCGTAATGATCATGAACGTACACACATTGAAGGAAACTTCAGCTGTGACCAGTGTGACAAGAGCTTCAAGAATCTCAGTTCATACTCCAAACACAAACGATCGCACGCTGCAAATAAGCTATTTCAGTGTGACCAATGTGCAAAACCATTCACTTCATTATCTGCTCTGACCAAACATCTGCATGATCATGCAGGACTAAAATCATTGCTGCCATTGGATCACAACGAATCTGAACAGACAGAAAGAACCTCTTCTGCATCAGAAACCTGATCAGGCTCCACATAGTTCTGACTGTTTACCCCTGTAAAGAGTCAGCTAATGTCACACCTGGTTCTTATGACATAGCTATGACTTTTGGACTGGCAGTGATACACTTTGTATTTAATAAGTGGAAACCATTGAAAACTACAGACATTCACCACCAACAGGAGGTGCCATATGGGTTTAGTGCTATTTGGACCAGGTGGTAGTCAGAGGCCCTGGCGTTCTGAGCTGTGGCATACATGACTAACCATGGGACCAGTATAACTAGCCATGATGCCGGCTGACGAATGGGATCAAGTCAGCTGGCATCATTGTAGTTGCATTTAAAAAAATAACAACTTTTCTTTTATTATTATTTTAGATTTTTTTTATTTATTTCAGTTCAGCTTATTTTAAATTTGAACTAGACCTGGCCTGTACTTCTGTGTAATACTTATTTACAGTGGCGGCCCGCAGAAGTAAAAGCCTTTGTCCCAACAATCAGTTTACTCCCTTTGAGCAAGTGCTTTGGCCACAGTGGGAAGGAAAAAGTCCCTTTTATGAAGGGAGCTGGGATGAAGAAGAGACATAAACATGTTGTGGAAGAGAACCAAAGATTAATGAAAGTTTTTCATTTTAAGATGGCTGAGTTGCTCAGTGGAAACCAAATGTACCTACAAACAATCAAATCTATCCTGAACCTGAAGCCATTCGATATTTTATTTTGGTAAATATGGCAGCACTGAGACTCATTTCTTTTTCAGTTAATTCAAATGATTTAATCTTTTAGTTTTGGTTTCTAATTTAGGCTCAGTTCGTTTCATGTAACCTTGCCCACATGTTAGTTTGTATTCAATGCATTTTTATCTTGTGCTCCAGCTGTTAAATCTAGCGAATGTTTAACTGTTAGCTATATTTAATTAACTTTAAAGTTTGTCTTATTAAATGTTTCGGTGTGAAAAATAAAGAAATAATCTTATATTATCGTTACAGCCATTAGAGCCATCCTACAATCCTACACTCAATCCTGCTTATGTTGGTGACTTTATTTCACTCAAGGTCACTTTAAATCACTCATACTGTAAACTGTAAAGCTGCTACGTTGGTCATTTTAAACCACTTCAAGGTCACTTTAAATCACAATTCTAAATTGTAAAGTTAGACTGAAATTAACCTTTTTTACCTCAAAGTGTATATTTACTCCCCTTACCTAGTCTTATAGTGTATATTTATTCCTACTCTTACTATATTAATTGTTGTTCTTTTTGCACTGAATGGAGCTGGAGCCTCGTCGTCTCATCTCTATATACTGTACTGTATATAGCAGAGATGACAATAAAGTTTACTTTCGCTTTAAAACGAAAAACTATTTCAATGTCTTTTGCTCTATAAACGTGTCTCATGCAGTCTGGTTCGCCTCGAGGTCAATCCAAAATTCTCCATTGATTAGTGCATTGGGGCTTTTGATGCAGTAACTGAAACTAGCACGGTTAACAGTGAAAACCTTGTGAATCTATGATGTATCCATATCAAACATGTAGTCCTAATCCGCCCTTGGTCCAGCATCTGTAGTTTGGTTTCACCAGGTTGAGAAGGTTTGGACTTTTTCTCATCTTTTTAATCTGTAAACAGGAGCCTGACAGACAAGTGATGGAAAAAGGTTTGAAAACCAACTCTGTCTCATGCATGTTTTATTGGTGTCTATTGACATACAGTAAACATTTTTTGTGTCTTAGATAAAAGAGTTAAATCCAAAGTTCAAGCAAGATTCAAGTCCATAAATTATGAAATAACTGATGGTGAAATAAAATTTACTAGAGCTCAGAGTAGAACTTATAAAGCCATAATGTGGTGTGAAGATAAAGAAATAAATAAATGAAGTTCCATAACCAAGATCTATGCCAGGGGTGTCCAAAACCTGGCCTCAAGGGCCGGTGTCCTGCAGGGTTTAGATGTATCTTTGGTCCAGCACAGCTGATTTAAATGGCTAAATGACCTTCTCAGTATTTCTTGAAGTTCTCCAGAGGCCTGGTAATGAAACAATCATTTGAATCAGGTGTGTTGACCCAGGGTGAGATCCAAAACCTGCAGGTCATTGACCCTTGAGTCCTGGAGTATGCTGCCAGCTAAATCTAAGCTTTATCACTCTGACTTTCCCACACTGTCAAACTCTTTGTGTTATCACTGGTCTAGTTCTGCCTTCACCAGACCAATCAGCATTCATGCCCCATACTTTAAATCTAACCTTGCATCTGCCATTGGCCTTTACAGACGCCTTTGTGCAACCCACCCCCTCCTCTTCTTTGCCCCTCTTCACTCAGGCTCCATATAAACCACCTTTGTCTCCACCATCAGGATCTAGGCTCTGGGGGGTCCTGCTCTAATCCCTTTCACAGCTGGGGTCCATTCTGCCAAGACAGACCATCGGAGGCTAACTGCTAAGCACGTCTATCTAAATTAATTTCATCGATAATTCTGTCTTTGACAGAAAAAGGAACAGAAATCATATAAAGTGAGATTAAATGTGTGTCACATTGTCAGTAGTTGGTGCCTGCACATATTTCCTCTTCCTGTTGAAGAAAGGTGTAAATCCTCCTTCATTAAGACTTTCTGTGAATCAAGTCAAATGTAGTCATGATGATCTCTAAGGTTGCAGTACAGCAAACCTGGAACAAATGCAAACTGGATTATGGTGAACCACATTTTAAGATTATAGTCTTTTTACAGCTGTATTTTAAAAGATTTATTGCAGGAAATTCAGTATTTTCTACTCGTTTACATTTGTTTGACAGCTTTAGTTATTTTCCAAATCAAATTTAACCCAACATCCTGACTCATCCTAGCAGTCCAGTTAAAAGCCCACATCGACTCATCTACTGTTGAAAACATGTCTTACTTTAATCAAAAACTCTTTCATTCAGTTGAATAACAGAAAACAAAAACTACAACTCATACAACTGCTCTCATAGCTTACTCAGGTTTAAAAAAATTACAAATTTCAACTTAAGAAAATGTTTTAAAAAAATGTTTTTAAAAAAACGCTACCATAAGAAAAACCTCACTGGTGTTAACAAAATTGAACAAAACATTGCGATGCACAACACACATACTCAGTCCCACCGTCCATAATTTCTTCAGTTCAGTCGATACTTTTCCAGATACAAAATCTGCACATTTGATTTCCACAGTTGAAATTTTGTGCCCAGCATTTGTTTTGAAGTGTTTGATGATGTAAAAATGGTGTCAGAAGACGGGTGTGCCACAAGGCCATATTAATGTCGAGTGCAACACTTTCATCTTTTCATTACTACTGATTAGCTGCTAAATGTGTTTATTGATGGAATTTCAGCTAACAGAGCACAAATGAGAAACAAATATTACTTTACTTGTAGGATTTAGATACCCCAAGATCATAAGGAATTGTATGTAATTTCACAAAACAAATAGATTAACACCTGAATTCCCGTGAGTAACAGAGTTCAGGTATTTGCAGTGTTTCCTTTCACTGCATGCTTCTCTGTGACGTCTCTGACTGAAGTGGGGGCAATCAATAGTTTCTTTATGTGCTGATGGAGACTCAGCTTGTGTTTCAAATGTCCTCTTTAGTCTCTTTTCAAACTCCAGGTCTGAAAGGTGAAGCCAATACAAAGTGCCCTAAACCTACATTTTTTTCTCACTGGCCACCAGGGGGCGATAGTTATGGTTGCAAAAAAAAAACTTGCGTAAATATGTGTCTGCCTGGACCTCTGTAAATTGTTTCCTGGTGAGTTCATGGGCTGATTTGCTCATTTCAGGTCATAGTGAATGAAACATTAGGCTAGGTTTGTGGACTTTGAGCTCAGACAAATGGGAGGTTGCATCATAAATTCTGTGCCAAGTGATGTGAACCCATCTGTTTTGGGACTTCTGTGAAAATAAAGGAGCAGCTGAAAGCGTCTATTAGGTCAACGTTTTACATTTTAGAACTGAACGGTTTTAGCTTATTTTGAGCCACCTATCACACTGGCTATACCAAACTTGCTTTGTGCACTCCTGTGGTAAGCAAACACCGGTATCGTGTGTGTATAAGTTAATGGATATTTTTCACTGGAAAAACAACTTAATGAAGAAAAATAATCACATCAGTGAAACAAAAAGGTAAAAGTATGGAAGGAAACATTTTTCTTATTGGAAATTAATTCCAAATGAAGTATAAACAAAAACAGAATGGTTTTTCTCTGGCAAAAAATACGGATTATTTGACCACTAAAAGTGATCCCCAACAAATTCCCTTGTTTTTGAGAAAACCTACGGCAGCCAGCTGTTAATGGAAATAA